TACTTGCCTCCAGAAAAAACTTTACAAATTTCGTAGATATTTTATCAGGAGAGTTTTTTCCCTAGTTTATTCAATCAAGTTTTGCCAGAGATCAAAGAGTCAGCGTTTTTAGAGAAGAAGATCTCGGTGAAGATGCAAGAGGCAAAACTTGGAACTCATAGTTTACGGAAAAGTTCGCGTATAGATATTTCAACGAACTCTATGATATCTTTCACGATGGGGGATGGTAGAGAATAGTCAAGGTGGGGTTGGACGGAGGAATAAGGGTGAATGGTCGACGAGAAAGAGATGGGGTATAAAAGAAAAAGTCGAAGAAGGCCAGTCTGTTTACCAATAATAAAGTTGCTACGGTGCAAAATAAGACGAAAGGCAGCGCCTTTTCCGCAGATTCAATGAAAACTCTACCTAGCTTGTGTAGCGAAACTTCGACAATGCCGCTATCGAAAAGAATACTTACATATATTGCTTTAGGATTACCATCGAAAAAAGTTGTTATCATCGAGACACGAGGGAGAAAAACAAAAACCGATATAAACAAGAATATGATTTAAAGTGCTGCCCTCTGGATAGGTAATTACTTGTCATTTCTATTCTATATTTCACTTTCGCTTTCTCTTATCGAAGCAAAGAGAAGTTTTGTTTTTTCCCGATATCGGACTGGATCACTTTTATAGAATTGCCAAATAGGATATCACCATTTATAGTGAAGAAATTCCTTGGTAGGATGGGCTCGCGTCGTCGGTAAGATAAATCGGTATTTTCTAGTCGCAGAATAAATGAGCTACCTTCTGTTCCACTCTTCTCTTTTTCCTCTTCTTCACCCCTTTTTTTTCTACCTTCCAAAGCGAATGCACATATATCATACACACACGTATATCATATATGTATATATGTATATATATATATATATAGATACGTACACCCATATACATACGTACTATCCGTATTTTATCGATGCTTCCGTTTCATCGTGTCCGTGAAAAAGGTTGAAAACTTGAAAAGTCCACTCCATCAAATCGAGCAGGATGAGAAGGGCGTATCAAAGTTTCGAGGCAATATCGTTCGTTCAATACCTTCCCATCGATCTTTCTTCTGTTTGTCGATTTTTCGAGAACCAAATCCTACCACCATCATCACCACCACCACCGGTTATTAATAATTTTGATCTTAAGAAAGCAAAGTAAGACGTATCCGCGCGTCGTTCGGTAATTTCCGATGATTATATTTTCCTCTTAGCAAGTAACTTTCTCTTTTCAAAGTTTCTAACGTTTTCTTTTTTGTTACTATTATCAAGTTCCTCGGAAGCATAACAGGATGGCAAAAGGGAAGCATTCATCGTTGAACGAAAGATTAATCGCGATGAATATCGTCTTCTTCTTCTTCTTCTTCTTTTGTTTCTCTTCTATCTTCTATTCTCTTTTGTTCTGTACATTTTTAGTAAGTAGTTCGAACGGGAACAAATGAAGGGGATAGAAGGAATGCAGTAACGAAAACTGGCGACAAAATCATAATAAATCATCGAATAATCACGACGTACGAAGAAGAGCTTTAAACCTCACGAAAATAATTTGCGAAGACGTCCAACGTTTTAAAATTGATCGACCCTCTTTTCTATGTCGATGCCACGACTCCCGCAACTTATCACGTGCCCTTTCAAACCTCCCGACACACAATTTCGTTCCGTTCCTCCTCGCCACTAACTTTGAAAAGACGATCCATCATTGTCGCATCATCGTCGCCATCGGGTTTAAGAGCGATTAAAGAAACCTGCGATAGTGGTAATATAAGATGGTGGTACGTGAAAGAGAGAAAGAGATAAAGAGAAAAAAAACGGTTAGAAAAAGAAGAAGGTTAGACGGTTAGATGGTTTATACGAATAGTCTTTCCTGAAAAAGAATTCTAAAAAGGATCGTGAAAAAAGGATATAACGTGAGCTCTCCCGATAATATTCTCCCGAATATTCTCTTGGAAAAAGTGGATTTCTTCTTTTTTTCTCTCTATACGGCGAATATGCGAACTTTTTTTCTACGTAAACGTGTAACCATCTCGACAATTGGCGAAGTAACGAAAGAAGTTCTTAATAACTTTTTAAAATTGAAAGATCGTATCAAAATCGTAACAAAAAAGAAAATCAATCATTTGTTTATCAAATAGTTTAAAATTATCCTAGCTGTATCTATAAATTTGTTGCTTTTACTTCTAATCGAGGAAAAAGAACAGGACAAGTAGAATCCTACATTACCGACCGGTCAGTTTTATTTCATTGTGAATTAACATTCGGTAAAATCATTCGTCGACGATACACGTTGTTAAGGATATTTCATCGAAAAATATACATATATATATAATCAAAGAAAAGTAAATATATAATTAATATATGACTAATAGAGAAAATGACGACATCATTCAATTAATATTTGAATTTTGTCTTTACGCAGTGTCCAATTTTCTAATCGACCAATACGTTCATAGAATTATCTCGTCATGGCTTATATAATCTCCTTGAAAACGATTGGACAGGAATTAATATATATATGTATGTATATATATATATATACACATATACATATATATATACATATATATATATATATATATATATATATATATTTAACGGTTTTCACAGCTTTCATCTTCGTAATGTAACATCATATCCTGTTAGCTTCATTGATATCGTTTCGTTTTACGATACACTTGCTTATATATATATATATATATATATATATATATATATATATATATGATTTATAGCATTTAGTTAGGAAAGATACGTATATTTTATTTTTCCTTTATCGAGAAGACCGTGAATTCCTATCATATTTCTTGTTAGACTAATCGTGTAAACTCATTAATCGGTTTAAGTGTCGTAAAAACCAAATAATCGTTTTATTCTTTTTCTTCTTATATCGATAAAAGAGACGAGTAAAAAAATGACGATATTATGCGCGATTAACTCTATTTGAAGAAACTAACCGGAGATCCTCTTAAATCGTGAAATACGTTGTAACTCGCGAACAAGAGTAGCCATTATTATACGATAAATCACAAAATGACTGGAGAACTCTCTACGATCGAGTTCCTCGATGTTCTATTACACGACGAACGGTCAACACATCATTGTCAGTACTTTGTATCATCAAATAAATTTTATCCTTTCACCAATATATATTTATATTTCTTCTTTAATAGATAAATATTTAAATTGATATGTTGAAAATTATATTCTTTTTTCTATTTTTTTCTTTTTTTTGTAATATTCACTGCTCTCGTTTAAATTAACGTATAATAAACACGATAATCACTTTTTATTTAAAAAAAAATTTATATTATAATAATCGAAGTAACGACAGACTTAGGTCGTGGAATCAGTAAAGAAACACTTTTTCATTGACGCCGTCATTCGCGTACTCAGTTGACCCTTGATCGGCATTGACCATATTACACCAGCCTAATTTCCATTTATTACGCAATTGATGCAATTAGATACATCAATCGTCGGGATAATGGAGCGTTCAAGAGCCAACTAGATGCGCGACAAAGAAAAGAGCAAGAGACAGTATTCTGTCCAACTCTGTCGAGACGAATGACTACCTTCTAAAGATGAAGACAAAAACCACTTTTTTCTTTCCAAATTTATATTTTCATTTCTCTTTTATCATCCTACGTTCACATCTACATACACATATTTTTTCACTTTTATTTTTCAACGATAAAATATCGTTTAACGATTTACGAAGTTTTTGTTCGTTAAGAACTGGACGCCATGATGTTTCGACAAGTTTTACGTCATATTTAATAACTTGATTATCTCGATATATATATTTATTAATATATCTGCGTTAAAAAATAATAGCTATTATAATACTAAATGATAGCTACTGTAATGCTGATGAAAGAAATATTACGTCACATAATTTTTTTTCTACTACTGTAACTACATGCGTATATATTTACGTACGTATGTATAGAAATGGTATTTGACCACCATGATGATCTTTAGATAACCTTTTCATCGGTATAATTTCATAAATGTGATATTACCTTCTTAACCAGCCTATTCGTGGAAGTACTGATAAATTAGAACCGCGAATAAAAATTTTTTAACGATATCAATATATAAAAGTTAGAAAAATTTTTTTCCACCGTTTATAACGACTCATTCGTTCATTTATTTATCATACATAATATAATAAATGACTTTCGACCGATAAGCAATATCGAATAACGAAGGTTGAACGATAAATCTTCACTGAAAATTAAAATAATCGTTAATACGGGAATATATTTGACACCGATGACGTACATATTTACAAATGTAAATTAAATTGAAATATAAATATACGTTCCTTCACACATTGTCTTTATTCGTATTTTCTTCCTTTTTCCTTTTTGTTTGATCGAAGAATATTTACTAATGACAAACTTCTATGACTCGATTTGTTCTTCCTATTTTTTCATGGATCTTATCGTCGATCGTAGTTCAGTCTAACAATTTTTTTTCTGCTCAGGCCATGATTTATTATAAATAACTTGAACTGCAAAACAGATGGAAAGCTGAAAATAATATTACATCATTAAGAATATTTCTACTATGTTTAATCGATAGTGCAAGAAATCCAGGCGATTATTTTTTGACAAGAACAAATTCAAACTGGTAATTTGTGAAACGTCAGAGCTAAAGATAATAGCTAATATATGGACAATTGCGAGGATCGTTAAATTTTTTGTGGTTCTTTTTTCTTTTTATCTATTTTTCGTCATGCGTAAAAACACGAGGAAGAATAGCGACGACATTAGAGAGAATAGATAACTGTCACGGGCATTTATGATTGGCGGCCAAACGGAGGCTCGTCCTAAACGTTTAAAAATAAATTAATCTACGTCTCTCTCTCTCTCTCTCTCTCTCTCCCTGTCTTTCCCTGTCTCTCCCTCCTTCTTTCAATGTACACTGCGTCAAGCAGGTTAAATTCAATCGGGCAGTGCACTCGAAGAATTTTCATTTGTAGTTCGTACGTAGTCGTCGTCGTCGTTAAGTTATAAAAGCTTGCTTACGAAGCATCGTTGCTTTGATTGGCAACACAACGTGCATAGAACAAATGTATACGTAGAAAAATAATATTACACTCCGCATGTTAAAGGAAATCGGAAGCGCGTGCGCGAATATTCTCAAATCGATCGTAATATGCATTTATTATTATTTATTTAAAAGCAAAGCGCGCGTAAAGAGCGAAGGATAATTTGAAAAGAGAGAAAGAATAAGAAATAACATTATAATTGTAAACACGTGCGTACATAGAACATATATTCATTTATGCGCGCCTTCCGTTCTCAAAATCGATATTGTCGCTGTGTGTTCCGTACGAAGGCCCACGTACGAAACTTATAAGAGTCAACGATATTCGAACATAACCTCAAAAATCGACGGATCTTTTTCCTTCGCATTTTCCTTGTGCAGCGTAAAAAGAAAAAGGAAAGAGGAAAAGAAAGAGAGAGGGAAAGAGAGAAAGAGAAAGAAAAAACAAGAGAGAGAGAGAGAGATAAACGGGAGAGAGAGAGAGAGAGAAGAGAGAGAGAGAGAGAGAGAAATACATACCATCCGGATCATTGAAGAGATTTTGATTTAAGGATCGATGTTGGAATATCAAAGTGATCATCGTCGAACGAATCGAGGGTAAGGGATATACCAGCGAGTCTGAGGAGAGCAACGAAGGCTGATTTTTTTGCGAATCTTTCGAATGACGTCGATAAGAGAGAAGGTTATTGCCATGCATATAAATTAATTTTTATTCAAAACATTTTTTTCAAATTATTCAAGGAAAGAAGAGGAGAGAGAGAGAGAGAGAGAGAGAGAAAGAGAGTGAGGGAGAGAGAGGAAGAGAGAGAAAGAGTGAGAAAGTGAAGGAGAGAGAGAGGGAGGAGTATAAAGGACATAGGATAGAAAAAGAAGAAAGATACCAAAAAGGATTACGTACGAGCGACATGTCTCATGGATAGCACATTGATGTATCACTTGTTACAAGATCGCTTGTTTTTCATTTCTCTTAGTTTGTTTATCTCTTCTCTCTCTCTCTCTCTCTCTCTCTCTCTCTCTCTCTCTCTCTCACTCACTCACTCACTCTCCTCTCCCCCCTCCTCCCTCTCTCTCTCTCTTTTTTGCGCGTGTTGCATCATTTGCTGTATGATGATGCGTTGAGTCCAAATACTGATTCGACGATTGAAAATGAGCAAGACGTATATTTTTAAGAGTATAATATGCTATACCGAATCGGCTATACCGAAAATACGCGCTCGACGATATTTCAATTGCGTAATGTTTTTGATAACCGAAGAAAAACACGTGGTACACTTGTTATTTTATTCTTATTTTCCTTTTTATCAAATCTTTTTTCTCCCTTTTTTCGATTATTAGATGTCATGTTAACAATGATGCTAATAGTTATCTGAACGTGCATATGTATGGAATATCGTGAGAGTTAGTTAGATCATATCTCGTTTTATCACTCATAATATATGTGGCTTTTTTTTTTAAATTGTTAACAGGTCACAAAAAGTCGATACTTTAATATAAGACAAGAGAATGTTGATGGGACAGACTTGAGGTGAAATGTCCCGTAGTTTGCCAGATAGAGTGGCAGGGCTTTATTATGCCCATGGCCTATTCTGTTCTTCGCATCCCATCCCAGTTATCTCTTTGGCAATATCAATTATATTACTATGCTGGTCTGTTGTATCTTATTTAATAATATCTTTTAGTTTTCTTCCATTATAGGTACACAATTTAAAATAGAACCGTTTTGTCAATTACAGTTATCCTTTAGTAAATCTGCCAATGCCAGGAAATGCACCAAGAATGATACTTAATCGTACGGTTGAATCAACAAATGTTACAGAAAAGTCAGCTTTGTATGTTCAACAGGTTGTATTAAGAATTGGAGTGGTACCATGGGCCGAAGATTTGTCATTAATGGATGCATTTAGGGGACCTTTATATGAGATATTTAATCTATTGGAAATTATACAAAATTATCAGCACCCAGAAACGTTAGTTTAATGTATTCATTTGGATGGAGAATTTTTCAAAGTCCTCATTTTAGAATTATATTTACAGGTTGAAGACCCTTGGCCAGGTTTGCTTGCATATAGAGGCAGCCAAAAAGAGAAATGGGAAGAAACCGGAGGTTTTACCGGAGTATAATTGTCTAGTACTCTCTCCTGCAAATTTGTGGCAGCAAAGTATTGAACTATTTTCACAAGATACTAATCTTATTGGAACAGTATTTTCATATAAGGTAGCTTTATAAATTTCTATTGGATTAAAATTATTCGTCGATCACTATATTATACATATATTTTCTTTCATTGCAGAACTTACAAAAAGGTAAAGTTAGTTTAGCAGAAGTAATGTTTGGGATGAATTTAAAAGAAACTGGAATTAAGCGATATCCAGTACGTGTTAGGCAAAGAATTTTACAATATTCAGTCACCATTTATTTAAAGGAATACGATATCGAGTAAGTAGATAGAAACAATATAATCCTTTAATATAATATGATAAAAAAAATTGATAACATATTTTTCCATCTTTTCATTAATGCCTGCTTCCAGATTTATAAGAGGATTAAATCATCGATTGAAAAGTTACTATCGTCTTCATCAATCTGAAGATAATATTACAGATATTGTGGCGGACGATGCGCTACATATTTTTTATCCTGGAGAATTTAATTACAGTGACTTCTTTCCCTTGATGATGACTTTCTTAGTATTGCTTTTTTACATTTATTTTTCTGTGCGCAAAATAGAACTTATTAAATCAAAAATTGGAATGGCATTTAGTGCGTGCTTTACGGTAATAGCGTCTCTTTCTATGACCGTTGGTGTGTGTTTCTTTTTTGGTTTAACATTGAGTTTAAGTGGAAAGGAAGTGTTTCCATATTTGGTGATAATTGTTGGTTTAGAAAATGTATTGGTGTTAACAAAAAGTGTAGTGAGTACTCCAGCTCATTTGGATGTAAAAATTCGAGTCGCTCAAGGCTTGTCAAAAGAAGGATGGTCTATCACAAAAAATTTGCTTACCGAAGTTACTATTTTAACTATTGGATTGTTCACATTTGTTCCCGCCATTCAAGAATTTTGTATTTTCGCTATTGTTGGATTATTGAATGACTTCTTCCTTCAAATGGTGTTTTTCTCAACAATTCTTGCAATTGATATTAGACGTACCGAACTTTCTGGTGAAAGTTCGAAATTTCATTTACCACACATTCCAACATCACGGAAACAACAGTTTACTACGACTATAACGACAAATAGAAAGCCTAATATATTTCGTTCCAAGTCTCATCCAAGGCTTAATGGTTTGACCAACGGACCGACCAACGTGATAGCTCCAAATACACAGAATACTTATACATTGGCGAAATTACCCAAACGATTACGATTGGTTCATTTTTGGGCACGTACACGTATATTTCAACGTGCATTTATGGTATGGATGGTAGTCTGGATCAGTATGATTATATACAACTCTGGAATAATTGAACATGTTATTCACTTAAGTGATACATTAAAAACAGAAACAGATATTGATGGTTACACTATAGATAGACCGCAAACATTAAATAATTATATTGGATTAGATAAAATAAAATCTTTACAGACATCACCTAGTACCGTTACCCCGGATCGTTTAAACGATAACGTAAGTTAAATAGTTTTTTAAAACAATTTCTTTCCTCTTAGACACAGATCATTATTGGATATTTTTTATTATTTTAGAATGAACTGATTAATAATGTAACAGACGAATTGAACAAATTGAGACCTGTAGATTTTCCACCTTGGAATCGTTTATCTCTTTATCATTGGTCTTCAATTGTTTCAATGTATAATATTTCTGTAGCTGGTGAACAAGTAACAATACTACCAACAATTAAATTATCTCATGCGGTTAGTCCACAATTGGTTAGACAAATTAGCAATCCGAATGATGTGCAACACTTCCAATGGCAAAGTTTTGCTACAGCTGCTCTTGATCCCTTGGATTTTTCAGGTTTGCAAATATTTCCTTGTTAAATAATATAACATTTGTAGTCTAAAAATAAATGACATATTTATTACGCAAGGATGATTTTTTACAATCTGTTATAACAAATATTATCATAATATATGTGACGTGTCATTTTTAAGCTGGATGTTGAATGTTTTTATTCTAATGCACAGCTGAATATTCTAATTTATCATTCGGTTATTTGATACTTAAGTGTACATCATTTAATATAGAAATACGATATAGAAAAGTTAATTTATGATCTACTTACTTTTATAGATATGGAAATACCAACAAGATCCGAAGGGCGCGGATTTAACACAAATGCACCCTTTGTACCATCGAGTCCTATGGAAATATTTTTAGCAGCTTTACTTTGTCTAGTTAGTGTTATTGTTGTGGCTTATACAATGGTGGTTTTATATCGTTGCATTTGCTCTAGAAATTATGCAGAGTGGAGAGCTAGTTGGCACCAACAGGAGAAGACACATGATTCAGTGACACAATTGGTCTTAGAAGCGATGCCTTTAGTTCTAGAAGGTCACACTCAAGAAGTCGAATGTATTGCCACAGATGGCAATACCATTGCAAGTACTTGTTTGGCTGGACACATAAGAGTATGGGATTCAATTTCGGGCGAACAGATTGCTCATATTAACAGAAAGCAATTCTTTGGTACACCTCAAAAAAATGCAAATCAAGTAATACAAGATACAGAAGAACTTATGTCTGATTATGAAAGTGGTTCACCACCATCCAGAGGTGAGATAGAGAATATCAACTCACAAAGTTTATACTCTGCGCCGTATTCATCAATGTATCATAGACAATCATCACCAGGACCTTGTTACATTCAACGACTAAATTATGGAAATATTAACAAAAGACATTCAATGGGCAATAATTTGGATTATGATTATCAAATAAATGAATTCAACAATATGGAAAAACACAAATCTTTGCGTAGAAATTTGGATAATGCTTATAATCTACCTGATTTAAAACAAACAATTAATACAAAATTTTCTTCCATGAAGCATTCGTTGGTACAGAAAAATTATGATCAAGGTTATAATTTTGGTGATAAATATAAAAATCTCTTAGACGAACATAATAGGACTATAGACGAAATGCAAAAATCTGAAAATCAGGATGAGTTAAATCTATGTAGAAAATCAAATATTTCAGTAAATGGTACAGTTTTGTTAAACGGAGAAAAACCATTACAATTGACTCAAGGCATTCCACCAATTTGGTGCATGGACTATCAAGAAAATTTAATTGTAGTTGGATGTTCCAATGGTAGCTTAGAATTTTGGGAAGGTACAACTGGAAGATTTAAAGTAAGTTTTGAAAATTAAATATCTTTTTTCTTTTTTTTTTTTTTTTGTGCATAACGAATGTACACATAATCACTGAAAATTTTATATAAAATTATTATTGTAGTGTTTGTTTGATGATGGATCCGGCTTTGGGATTTCTGCTGTTAAACTTATAGGCAGTAGAGTAATAGCTGCTAAATTAAATGGTTCCATAGATTTCTTACAACTTGAAAGTTATAGTGAAGGTCAACAAATTGACTGGGGATTTACATCTTACAGAAGAAGTAAATATTCGTTATTGTAAATTTCTTATTTCTTTTTTCACTTATAATATATATATATACATATATATATATACATATGTTACAGCGCACGTTCGTACCGGTAGCGCTGGATCACCAGTGGATATTAATATCATGCAATCTGAAGAAGATCTTCGTTGTATAAAAATTGGTTCACACAGAGCACATCAACAAGTTATAACGGTTTTAGATTCTGAAGGAGGTCGTGTTTTAACAGGTAGTCAAGATCACACCCTAAAAGTTTACAGGTATGATACTTTGATACAGAATATCAAAGTATATATATATAATATGCTTTTATGGCGTTCTTATATTTTCAGGTTAGAAGACCAGTTACCATTGTACACTCTTCATGGGCATTGTGGACCAATATCTTGTCTATTTGTGGACAGAATTAGTCCTATGACATCCGCTAGTGGATCTCAAGATGGTTTACTATGTGTCTGGGATCTTTTGACAGGTAAGCTAATATAATAGAATGTCATAAGGAAGTATCAATAAAATATTCTTTTCCAGGAACATGTATGTATAGTATACAAGCACACGATGGTGCTGTAGCTGCTATAACATGTTCAGTATCTTATGTAATAAGTATTGGAACTGATGAAAAGTTGTGCGTTTGGGAACGGTTTCAAGGTCACTTATTGCATGCTCTTCCTGCACACAGAGCAGCTTATAGTTTACAAATAGTTATGTTAACGCATCATCTACTAATCGCCAGTAGCCAGGTATGTAATAAGTTTCATTAGAATGCAATCTATAATAGTGCAAGATATGATAATAAATATTTCAGGGATCGTTAGTGGTATGGGACGTGAGAACTGGCGAACCTGTTCGTGAAGTAAGATTGGGTCATAAAGACAGTTGTATATTCGTAAAGCAAATGATCGCATTAAAGGATAGTGTAGTTTGTGATTTTGGTCGACAGTTAAGAATCGTCAGATTTCCATTGGTTTCTGATAAATTAGACTAAATTTTGTGTATGCTCATGTACATAGCTTTATTTTACGTTTACTTTCGATTATAAATATTATACGACACTTGAGTAAAAAAATTGCTTCGCATAAGCTTACTATAATCTACAGTAATTTTACAGGGATAAAGATTTTTTACATTGGATGTATTTTGTACTCGATTAAACTAAGGGTACATTTATTATTTTTTAAATCTTTCGATTAAATTGCCCATGGTAGGTTATTTTGTTTGAATTATTTTACGATATGACAATAGTAATTTATTATTTTTTAAATTATCATAACTATTAGACAAATTCATGTATGAAAATAGTAAAAGCTATTATCGATTTGTATAAAAAAAAATTAAAGGTTGTTGGAATTCCACGAATTCTTTGGATATTTAACTACTTCTTATATTCTTCCATTTATTTATTTTTAAAGAAATATTCTAAGTGAGTTTTATTATTAGAAAATTATTTTTAAAAAATGCTTTATTTCGTGGAGTAATACGTTAATGTTATTTTAAATCAGTCTATGCATTATTTATATTAACGTATGTATATGTACATATATATATATATATATGTGTGTATGTTTGTGTGTGTATGTATATGTATACACATATACATAAAAATCATTATTTTTATGAAATCGTGATATTTTAAATAATCGTAATTATTAATGCTTGTGATATTAAACATTGCATCTGTCAAAAGTTATTGGCCCTCAAATGTGTCAATCTTATGTTTAAAACGTAAATTTAGAATTTTTGCATGAAATATGTTAATAACATGATATGGAAGAATAAGGAAGTAAACTAATATTATCGTTGCTAGATATTAATAAGTTTGCAAAAAGCTTGCGCAAACAATTAAAAAAATTTGTTACTTGTTAAAAATTGATAAAAACGTAATGTAATTTGTGTGTTTTTGCGTGTGCACGCGCGCGCGCACGCGCGTGTGTGTGTGTATATATATATATATACACACTTATAATTTATATATCATCCAGATAAATATATATAAAACAAAAAGAATTGGTTAAATGTATAGACAGTCCTGATTCAGATCTTTCATCGCAAAATTTTTTCTTATGTAAGTCTATTAAATAATATTCCATAAACCGTTTAACGAAATTATTATTATTTTTTATTCCAAAAGAAATCTCATAGTTACATAATTATTCAGATTCGAGAAACTATTCATTTTTTCTCATCTTTTAGCACGAGGACTATCTATACATTACGTTTTTTACAACGTAAGTTATTGGAAAGTTAATCATGACATTAAGATTTTTTTTCATTTTTCTTGATGAAATCGAATTTCATTATGCACAATATTTCATCTTTACTTATACAAGTGCCTTCGCATCTGTCATTTTAATTTTCACTCGTATGTATTCACTATGATAGAATTATATACACATATATATATATATAGAGAGAGAGAGAGAGAGAGGGAGTAACGAAAAAAAAATTGATCTCAATCTTTTATTACGTAATACGTAGATGTTGCTCTATCGAAGAGAAAAAAAGAAAAAAAAAGACAAAATTTTAATTATTACATGTTAAAACGTAGAATACATATACAAAAGTGTACACACAGACACTTGTGATACGTACTACGTAGTTAAAGTAAGGTTCAATCGAAGAGAAATTTTTCGAAATCGACTATAAATCATTCAAGATCGCTATATGATGTTCTATTCAAATCATTCGAACGGGTTCCAACAAACTAAATATAATATCATATTTGCTAAAAGAAAGGATTTAAATCCTATTTATAGACTATAACGATCTATATTTTTCTAAACGTCGAAATAGATTACGTGAAAATTTATATTTTATAACGAAATAACGTAAACTATGAATTTCATTGTTGTCGTTTAATTCTTCAATAACAATAAAATGACAATGCGTCGGTTTATTAATATTTAAATTAATTAAAGAAAAAGTAAGAAAAAAAAATTGATTGTACGAAAGGATCGCATATAGAGTGCATTAAGTTCCATCTTTGCAATGTTATATTTTACATATTATACTTTCACGAATGTTGCTGAAGTATCGCGAAATGAAAGATGAAAAAAAGCGAATGAACGATACTTTACTTTAAGAGAGAAAGTGTGTGTGTGTGTGTGAGAGAGAGAGAGAGAGAGAGAGAAAGAGAAAGAGAGAGAGAGAGAGAGAGAGAGAGAGAGAGAGAGAGAGAGAGAGAGAGAGAGAGAGAGAGAGAGAGAGAGAGAGAGAGAGGAAAGTACGTGCGTCTTTTACGGATGACATAAAAAGAAGGAACATTATCAATAGGTCAACTATGAAACAATGATAATCGCCTCTAGACTGAATATATGTACTATATATTGTGACAGTTTATACATACTTAGGAAAAATCTTTTATTTTCTGATATCCTATTTGAGAAAGCAGATAGTGGGTCCCACTAAACGAAATCATCGTTTGCTTACCTAGAGTTATATATTTTTCTTAACCAAAGTTGTACGTACGTTGTTTAAAATAAACGATGCGTCTCTACATGTGATAGGAAATAACGAACGTGAGGAAAAGGAAAAGTAAAAGAAAAACAAGAAAAAAAAAAATATATATATATGAAACAAATGAAAAATAATAATAAATAGAGGAAAAAAAAGCAAAAGAAAATGCTTCCGACGATACCGTTGGCTGGCTAACGATCACGCGTGATTTTTGTATTTATTATTAAATTAATTTAACGCATAATCTAACGCATAATTAACTATCGTTCTTAATAAAAATAAAATTAAAAAAAAAAAAAAAAAAAAAAAAGAAGAAAAAATGAAATAAAATTTTCATTTTGTAATAGACGCAACTCCTAGCACGTACTTATCCCTTCCGAGTGCGCAAAATTTTAAAAAACTGTCGGCCATTAAACACACACTCCGAAATACGAAAATATGCGATATATAATCCTATATATCATCATAAGCGTTTTACATTCAACGACAGATCCATCGTTTGCTTCTGGCACATTTAATCCGGAAATTTGTAAGTAGAATGAGATTAGATGAACTATTATAATAAGCTAAGCCGTGTTCTTTTCTAATTCATTTGATCTAAATACAAAGATTCCCTTTTCAGAAAATTATCGCGCTTACAATTACTTCGTTATATATTATCTTTATTGGTAAATAAGAACGAAAGAAACGTAGAAATGTTGTCAATGTGGCCTTGCCGATCAGTTTCAATGTCGTTAATTGTTAGTTGTAGATTAGAACGTATCCAATAGTGCTTTCCTTTCACATGATTTTAGAAGATTTTTTTTATTAAGCACTCTGATTAAAAATTAATGCAAGAAGAAAAGGAGCAAGGTTATTGACCAAGAAAGTATGTACACTGTAAGTCCGTACTCAGACATTGTGTGTTTCTCTTAATGCCGAATTAATCCTTTGATACTCTTTTCATAAGTGACGTCTATCGCGGGATTTTAATTTGTATTTAACAATTCAGTATCATATTTCTTATCTTCGTTCGTAATAGTAATGAGTAAAAAAAATTATAAATATTTTCAAATATGGTTTTCATGATTGATTGATTGATTGGTCCGTTCGAATTGAACTTTCTTATTTTGATATATCAGTCTAAGTATATGCATATTTTTTTTTCCTTTTTAATACAAAAAGTATTAAAGTAAAGTAAGTTTATCGCAGGACAACTTATCGAATGAAACACAAGAAATAAAAATACAATAATAAATTTTTGTTGTTTAGTTTATGATATACGTCAAAAGCTTATATATACATGTAAAGTACTTCCAGGTTCTTCTTTTCTTTTTCTTTTATTTTTTTAGAGATAAGTTTTTAACTGTGCAACGACACGATGAAAAAAGATATATATATATATAAACAAGGACGAATGATAATATTGAATAATATGAATTATACAAAAATAATTCATCTTTTTTCTATATATTTATATTGAAATAATCAAATTTGAATTTGAATATGAAGGATAAATTAGAAAGGCTTTGTTTAGACTGTTAACTTTACAAAATATTTAACTTCACAAATTATATATATATATAACTATAATCCTTTTTTACTATATAAATAATAATAATAATTGTTATATATATATAATTAATAGTGACATATATATACATATTGTCATTATTATCGATCTAATGTTGTATATCAGTAGCAAGTTATCTTAGTAATTTCTCTCTTCTATTCTTCCTTATTATTATTATTATCATTATTATTGTTATTATAATTATTTTGAATACTGTAATACCGAAAAATTTTATCAAACGAAATTATTTTTATCCTCATGATTTTTTTGTATTTCAGGATTGTTGATTGTATTAATCTACTTGATAAAAAATTAGTTAGATCAGTAATAATGAAATTAAACGGCTAGGAAATAGATGTATTATTCATCATTGTTGGAAGGGCTCCTTTACTTCTATAATTCATTATAGAAGTAAAAGGATATATTTGCGCGCACACAGAGAACAATTTTCTTTCGATGTAGAAGAAGAGGGAGTAGAAATCGAAAGTACATCTTACCGGTAGCACACATCAGAACGTATTCAGTCGTCTCCAGAGCGAGCTCGGTAAAGTTCATTGTTTCTTCCTTCTCTTTTTCTTTCTTTTTTTTCTCTTTCTCTCTCTCTCTCTCTCTCTCTCTCTCTTTCTTTTTTCTATTTCTTTTGCTTTCTGTTTTTCATTTATTGTCTCTATCATTCTCTATCTATCGAGAATAATTTAAGAAAAAAAATTGATCACTTTTCACAATCGGTTTTGATAACTGCTCGGTAAACAAGATGAAGGAAGAAGGAAGAAGAAGAAAAAGAGGAAAAGGACAGAACGTTTTCTCGAAGTTATAAACAGAAAAATATACAACTATAGGAAGGTCAAATTGTGTATATACATATATGTGTTTGGAAAAAGATCTCTGAGTTTGTTGAGTTTGCTGAAAAATAAAAGCAAAAGAATGAATCTTTTTGGATCGTTGAAATGTCATCGAATAAACTGTATTAAAAAAAGAACGAAGACATAGTGAAAATTAAGAAGTTCATCGTTTTTGTTTTTTCCGACATATATCATTTTTTTTCTTTTTATGTTATAAAATATATACTATATAAACTTTGATATTTTCGATATGATTCGTTCGGTATCGATCATTAAATCATCATTTTTTCATTAAAAATTATTAAATTGTTATAAAACTGAGATTTGTTCGTTGACAACTATCAAGAAGATGACACAAATCAAGAACATGGAAAGCACCATTGAAAATACAGTCAGGTTCGTATGATATAATATTCATTATATAATTATATCTAGTCAATTTTGATAGACTATTCGCGTCCAATTCATAGATTGATATATCGATTCTATACAAAATATTCCGATATAATTCGGTTATATAGGTTAATATCATTTTAATGTTGTATCAATAATTAAATTAATCTAACAGCAATAATAAAATCAATCAATGATTCATTTTTCTTCAACGATCTTATCGTTTGTATATTAAAAAAAAAAAAAAAAAAATATTATATTCAATGAAATCAAGAAATAAATCGTAACGTTCTTTTATTAAATGATCTTTCAATAAATTTATTTCTTTAAAAATCTTGTTTTTTTTTCGATTTTCAGTATCAAATTTAATAGTACCTTAGTTTTATGATAAGTTTTGCTTTAAAAAGCGAAGCAAAGTACTATGAACAATTTTCCTTCGGTAGTTGTTTTTTTCGAAATAAAAAAATAATTAATTGATTAAATCGAAACATTATTTTAAAAAGCGACATAATTATTCGAGCAACACATAATATATATATATATTAATCATATTTTATACTAATCTATTTGACGATAATTGTTAAAAAATAAAAAAGGAAAACTTCGTTATTATATTCTATATATAAAAGATCTGTTACGTTTTACTTTAAAATAACTATTTGTTAACATTTTGTCTAAATATTGTTATATTTTTATTTGATCTCGAATTATACTTGAAGATATTAGAAAATGATAACAAAAAGACTATTAATTATAACTAAAATAATAAAAAAAACTATTAACTATGAATAAAATAAACACAGAATAAAACATTTTTTACAAATAAAAGGAAGAAAGAAATAACAATTGAATTAAAATGTCTAATCATTTCTGTTTATTATGAACGTAATAATAATTTTTTCGAATAACGCATTCAACCATTAATAATTTCATTTACGTCAGAAATATTTATGAATTTGATGAATCTTAATTTTCAATTTTTTATTCAATATTTTACAATTTTTATTGCGACAACTAATTTTATTTTCATAATAAACTTGTTAAATTTAGTCACATTGATCAATTTGTTCAAACAAAATTTATTTACTTTTTACGAAAAATGTACTTTGAATATGTCATTTTTGTCGTCGAGTCATTACATATCTATAATACATATAATTTATATATCCCATTTCCATTTTTCTTTCGCAAACACTTGAAATTTTTAACATCTCTCTAACAGATATCATTTTCGAACTATTTATAAATAATTCATACCAAATATAATATATAGTATAAGAAATTTTCTTATTTTTATAATAAATTTGATCAGTATGTGAACGAAACAATTTTTGTTTTTGCTTCTTCTTTTTGGATTAAATTTATCGGCAAAACTTTTATTTTGTTAAGACACCTACTAACGAACGGCAAATTTAAATATTTCTTAAGAAAATATTCATACTTCAGTTTATTTTAGAATTTTAAGTCGGTCTTAAATCGTTTCATATTTATCATTTTTAATGTCATTTGAATTAAGTTATGTAACATTATTACAGTTTATTTTTTTGATAAAAGAATATGCTCATTAGGATCACGTGATAGATTAATTTATCTTTATTTTATTAGTTTTAAATCTTCCCAGCTGAAAATGATATGTAAAGTAAGTTTTATGAAAATAATGATCCTTTTTATCTTATTAAACCTTCTTCTCTCTAGTTCATCATCTCGTACTTATTCTGAATTTTATTTAGTTTGCTTGATATCTCTATTTTATTGCTTCAGAAATATGTCATTTTCGTTTCATAATATGCTCCATAATTGTTTATTTAGAAACAATAAATGACATTAATTGACAAATGGCCGTAAATACGTACGATTTGTTTCAGATTGATAACTATAGTTGATAAACAATAAATTTAAGTAACATTGTTTCTTTGTCCTTTGTTATCATTTCTTTAAACTTTATTATAAATATTTATTATTGAAAAAATAAAATTTAATTCATCTAAATAAATAAAGGTTGATGAAAAAATATTAACTGTAATAACACTTTTATAAGTGCAATCTATAAAAACAGAATATTTAATATATTCTGCTCATTTTTCTTATTTTTCTTTTTTTTCCTTTGTTTTTTGTTTTTTTTTAAATTCTACGATAAAATTATCCATCGTATCGATGAAATAATAAATAAGTATATAATTAACCATGTAATATAAATGAGGAAGTGCAATGGAAAACACGTTTGCGATCAGGTTACTGACCATGATGATCAGCGATGCAGCGGAGAAAAACATCGACGTATACTAATAAAGTCCTTCAAGTATTTTTTCTAACATATGAAACTCATTCTAGACAATACAAGATTTATAATTATATTATTACATGATTAGCTTGTTAAAAGTACTTGGAAAAGTAATGACACTATACATCGATAATCGAAGATATAAAGGAAAGATCGAATGGTTCGATAAACTCTTACTTCATAAATATTTATAATTTTTAAGCAGCAACGTCAGTTTCTGATTATTTAAAGCAACAATTAGAATATGCGTGTAAATAGATTCTAAATGTATTAAATATTTCAATTGACATCTATAATGTATAGGTATTTAAATTTATCCATTTTCTTTTCAATTTTTTTCTTTTTTCGATAGCAATTACGTACATTCAACAATACATTTATGTAATTGTATTTGAAATATTTTCTACAAAAATAATTATTATATTCCTTAGAATCAAAGTATTATTCCTTAATGTTATTCGAAGAAATGCATAATTTCGAGCTTATTTACGATCCTTCATTTATCGACAGGTACCAAATCAAGTTTATTTCAAAGAAACGTTTGATTTATTTTATTCATTAATTAGTATTTCTTTGGAATATAATCGCCAGGTTCCCCTTAGACAAATCAACTTAAAATATTCTTGGTGAAGAAATCAATATATATAATTATTCATTAATTGACATGACACAACGAATACAATAAAAAAAAAAACATTATTGGAAAATTGTCGCAAAAATGTATTATATTATAATATATTAAAATTGTAAGTATGTATGCACATATACAGGGTGTTTCAACTAACTATAGAACTTGAAATATCTTTGTTAATTTTAATCATATGAGAAAATTACAAAAAGAAAATTATACAGATTACAATTTTCTTCCGCAAAGTTGACGATATCAAATTCTCATTCTCCAAAGAATGTTTTCAAAAAACATTCCTTTCAACCATTTGTCATTTGTAATTACATAATAATTTTTCAACTGGCAAACATTATTTTGTAACGGAAATGGCAAGTTACGTAAATGACTCGCCTATAATCAAGTGGATCACGATAGAATGGATTTCATCCAGGAGAAGTGAATGGCCTGAACCAGTTGTGTGCAACGACACGGTTTATTCAAAAGAAAAAAGAAAAAAAAAAAGACATTGAAATGATAGCCCATGGGCATTCATGGCTCTAAGAATCAATTTTCTTTCTTTCGTTCGTTCATCCTATAGCTATTCTCCTTTCATGATTCTCACCGCGAATAGACATACGTACATTTAGTTTCGTCATTGACATAATTTAACGTGAAAGGATCTCAATACAACGATCGCGTTTACGTAATCCCAATGTTCGTACTACGTTCTCGGCATTTTATATAATACAGCATCCTCGTAAAACACTGTACAAGTGCCGAGGTACGATATTCTTATTTTCAAGAATGCTCTTTTAAATGGCATATTTTAATAGGATTGAAAAATGAAACAAGATTTCAATAAAGATTTCGAAATGTCTTTATTACTTCCGCTTATTCTTAAGAATAGTGTTCACAAGTCATTCTAGAAGTAAGTTGAATCAGTTGATGTTATAAGTCTAATGATCATTTACTCTCGTTTATTCGATCATAAGAGTGATATACAGTCAAAGACAAAATTGATACGTTTGATCAAAGTATTTTATAGTTAATATATATGTAATGTTTCCAGTAATAATTAAATATTTTAATCTATAAAAAGAAAATAATATTTAGATAAATTTTGCTTGAATAAATTTTCAGCAATGGTGAAAAAATAACACCGATGGAATTAAACGGCGATGTTGGCGATAATCTGGCGCCTATTTCAAAATATCGAGAAGCCTTACCGCAGTGCTGTGCTGTGGGCGCAAAAAATCTAGTCCTGATCACGTTTGGTTCCACTTTGGGCTTCTCGACAATTCTGATACCAGAATTACAAAGCAAGAATTCTGAAATTCCCACAACTATTGAAGAAATTACGTGGATCAGTAAGCTATTAAATAAATATATCAAATTAATCATTATTTCATTTTCGAAATAACTAGTTTTTGTTCGTCACTTTTTTACTTGTACTGCATATTTCATTATTTTATATTACATATATCGAAACACTTTTAATCACAATTTCATATACCATGCGTTTGTATTCTTTTTCTTTTTTTTTTTTGTTAACGTTCTTTTATCTTTCTCATTACAGGCAGTTTAAATTTGTTTCTTGTACCATTAGGCTGTTTCGTAAGCGGCCCAATATCTCAGTATTTAGGTAGAAAACGAACGATGATGATTGCAAATATTCCATTCATAATGGCCTGGCTGACTTTCCATTACTCTTACAATACTACCATGCTGTTCATAGCTCTAGCAATGACAGGACTTACTGGTGGATTGATCGAAGCACCAGTGATGACATATGTTGCCGAAGTTACCCAACCTCGTTTACGAGGAATGTTATCAGCTACATCCACCATGTCTGTCATTTTAGGAGTTTTCACACAGATGCTCGGCGGTAGCTTAACCAATTGGAGAACGGTGGCAGTGATTAATTTGACATATCCACTCGTGTGTTTTATCGCACTCCTCATGGTTCCCGAGAGTCCTCATTGGCTGGCCGGTAAAAGCAGATCTTTCTTATATTATTTACTATTAAATCATTCGAGTCTATTAATCATATATGCTCTATTAAACATATATATATATATATACGCGCAAACTGTTATCATAAATACATAATCGATTAGAAAAAAAAAAGCATCCGCCACGTAAAAAAGTTAAAAAAAAAGATAAAGATTAGATTATTAGATGACTATTAATGTTGTTGATCGTACGATATAAAATCTTTTTTTGCTAAAGAAACCTCTCGTTTAATTATACAACATTTATTTTACTCAATGTCAATACTATATTTGAAAAATCCTATTGATGGTTTAGCAAAGGGTCGTACGAAGGAAGCTGAAAGAGCTTTGTGTTGGCTCCGTGGATGGGTTACTCCAGCACACGTGAAAACGGAGTTCATTGGACTTTGCGATATTGTGAGGAAACCGGTGGACACAACGTCGGAAAAAGAGAAACTTTGGAAATCTTACAAGAAAAAGACATGTTATGTGCCTTTTATATTGGTGACAACAGCCTTTTTCATTGGTGCATTTGGTGGTACTTCGATTCTCCAGACTTTTGCCGTTGTCATTTTCGAAGAAATGAGCGCTCCCATCGACAAATACACGGCTGCAGTATTTCTCGGGATCGCTGAATTAGTTGGCACAGTGACCTGTGTATCAACCATTCATTTTATCGGGAAACGCTTGTTAACTTTCTTCTCTTTAATTGGAATAGGATCCAGTTTGCTTCTAGCGGTTATTTATGGTTATCTCAACGATAATCAAATTATTCAGGGAGAAAATTATACCTGGATACCGATGACCTTGATGATAGCTGCCGCCTTTCTCTCTCACATTGGTATCAGGTTATTACCTTGGATTCTAGCCGGTGAAGTATTTCCTGTTAAGGTTGGTACATGATGATGGTATATGATAATCATATTAACATGAATAACAAGACCTTAATCTTTTTCCAAAGGGTATAATATTGCAATATTTTTTTTAAATAAAAATCAAATAGTTTATGTTACTTTAAATAGCTCCTTTCTTTCGAAAATGAAAATGTAGATGGCAGAATCATACCTTCTTCCTTAATGTAAAAGAATTAAAATCTAATTATACATTGAACTCATAGCTATTTAAATTCATTCGTTTTCATCCTACATAGATTTCGTAGAAATTGTTCGACTTATCATTAAAACTTTATCAAATTGTCAATATTTCTGTATAAGATAACGTTAAAGAAGGTTATTAATTATCATGAATTAATATGTCAACAGTTTTAGAGGTCAGAATATTAGTGAATTATTGACTTTACATTCTTATTCACATTTTTCTAGAATAGGCTTTATATCTTTTTTAATAAATATCTATTAAATAAAATGTTTATATGTGAATTATATAATAAAAGAAAATATCAGTCGTATTTTTCTTAAAAAAAAAAGTAGAAAGAAAGAAAGAAAAATATGAGAACATTAATCCGCGTCTAATTCGAAATTTTAATTTCACTCAGTATCATAAAGCGTTTAATTTAAAATAACAATTTTATACATTTTTTTTTTTTTAAATAATGAATACAAATGATATAATTTAATATATATTTCAATTGTATTTGCATTAATTTCTAGGTACGAAGTAGTGCAACTGGAGTAGCTGGCTCAATCGGATATATTTTCATGTCGATCGCAAACAAGACTTTTCTGTACATGAAGACCAGCATGTCTCTATCAGGGACGTTGTTTTTTTATGCCCTAATAAATTTCGTTGGTGGAATTGTACTTTATTATATATTACCAGAAACGGAAGGTAGAACGTTAAGGGAAATTGAGGAACATTATGCTGGAGTGCAAAATTTAAAGGACAGACCAAAGAAAGAAGAGCTACCATTCAAAGAGAAATGGGCAGCCACAAATTCTGCTGTTATTTATGATGACGAAAGCAAACTTTAAATTACCATCTCAGTTACAAAAACCTACTGAAATTATATATATATATATATATTATATTGATTATATATATATATATATATATATATAATCAAATATATATTATATATATCTAATATATAATATATATATATATAGATATATATATATATTATATATTAGATTGATATATATATATATATATATATATCAATCTAATATTGAGATTAACTATACGTTACGCCAGTTTTTAAAACATGGTTAGATGATAAATCGTATTCGAGGTTGTTTACCGCATTTTAACATCAAGAAAAAAGGAGCTTCCTGTTTTTTAGAATTAGATCTTAAACATTTTAAATGTAAAAATTTTACGTCGTCTTTTAAAACGATTGTGAGCAAGAGTGAATTATTTAATCGTTGAAAGAATTCGTGTGTTTGTATTTTTTAAAACATATATTTTTTAACATGTATGTATGTAAAATGTTTTATATAAAACGTCTAATATATATATATATATTTATATATATATATCTTCACACAATGCATATGATTTTATGACACTTTACAAATTCACTTAGAAAATTTTGAATTTGTTAATTTTGATTGATCTTTCAAGCGATTTTTAAACGAAGATCGGAAATAATACGTAACCATTTCCAGAAATTGTTTGTGCCGTAAAATACTTAAGATTTGAAGAACCTTTTGTGGTATTTTCGGTATTTTTAATTTCTTGTAGTAAGAACTTCTTTTTAATATTTTGTAACGAGGAGTCGTAGTAGAATGACATTTTCTTAAACTACGAAAATTAATGATATTGTACGTATATGCACATATGACAAAGCAATATAATATTATTTGTAAAATTTTAATCGAATGTTTACCCAAATTTCGATTTCATAGTTTTCCTTAATTTTAAACATGCTTTCGAATTAGATCTGATACGACTGATTTCGGACTCGTTAATCAATTTTTCCGTGAAAATAATTTCCTTGCGATTTCTAAGCTTGTTATGTGTCATAATGTAAAATTCGTTTGGTTAGGCTATTTGAATATATAAAATCATCTTTTCTATTGAAAATAGTTTTTTCAAAATTTACAAGATAATCAAATACATGAAAATAGAAAACGTCAATTGTGCGTCAAACAAAAGATCAAACGATTTACTTTTCGTTTGCAATTGAAATCGATTTTATGATCGATTTTATTAATAAAGTTATCGAATTAATTACAAATCGTATAAAGTTCGTATATCAATTATTTTCCGCGGTATGAAATAAGAATTGTCTTTAATTTAGGGAGAATTTATATGAATGAACGAATTGGAATGAAATATAACGATAGTTAAATGAAAATCACCCAAAGGCTTCCTTAAAGCGTTTACACACTGTTTTGTGATTGGTTGATTTCGATCTGATTACGTTTGGAATTTTTTAGGCTAAGTTTCTATTGGTTCCTATAAACAAGAGTACTACATACAATAGTTACGAGTAGAGTTAATATTACAGGATGTTTGATATCAACCATCTTTCTGCATTATGTATAGGAATTTAATGTATTCACTATTTCCGGTACACATGGTTGTATCTCAGTTATATTATTTGATACTTATTTGTATGTTATATATTTTACTACAGTGAATGGAATATATAAAGCATAAAATATGGTAAGATAAGTTGTATCATTCTTTTGTTTTATTATTAATATAAATATTTATAAATCTAATAAAATCCAATGATATGTTGTAAATAATATCATTGTATAAAGGTTATTTATTACCATCAATTGTGAAGTAGAAATAAATATTTTTTTCACTCGTTGATATAAAGATAATGTTAGAAAGATAATTTACATTGTACATCATAATTTTTGTAACATAAACGATTATTTTCCAGGCACTTTACGTTTTATATGAGCATGCAGCTGGCTATGCTGTATTCGGCGTTAAAGAATTTGAAGAAGTAGGAATGTTATTACCTCAAGTTGAAGCATCAGTAACAGATTTATCAAGATTTAATGCTGTGGTAAAGCTCGTTGGATTTTCACCTTTCAAAACTGCTTTAGCTGCATTAGAGAATGTGAACAGTATCTCGGAAGGCATCGTACCCGAAGACCTACAATTGTTTTTAGATTCTATTTTGCCTAAATCCGATCAGAAAAACAAAATCATTCTTGGTGTATCAGATCCAAAATTAGGTGCCAGTATCACAGAGATATTGGATATAAAATGTGACCATACAGGTGCTGTACCTGAAATTATCAGAGGAGTAAGATTTCACTTTCATAATTTAATTAAAGGTTTTACTGCCAAAAGTTCTGCAGTAGCTCAGCTTGGACTTGGTCATAGTTATTCAAGAGCTAAAGTTAAATTTAATGTTAATCGTGTGGATAATATGATTATACAAGGTATAGCTTTACTGGATCAACTGGATAAAGACATAAATACATTTAGTATGCGTATACGGTAAGTTGATAATGATTTTTAAGATAATATTCGATATATTTTATCCAAAATCTATATTAAAGAATATTTACTCTGTTCTAGTGAATGGTATAGTTACCATTTTCCAGAATTAGTAAAGATTGTTCCTGAAAATTATATGTATGCCAAAGTGACACAATTAATTAAAAATAGAAAAGAATTAACAGAAGAAAAGTTGGAAGCATTGGAAGAAATTGTTATGGACAGTGCAAAGGCTCAAGCAATTATAGATGCCTCTAAATCATCTATGGGCATGGACATCAGTCCTGTGGATCTTCTTAATATTGAAATGTTTGCTAGACGTGTAATAGGATTGGCAGATTATCGAAAGCAATTGGCTGAATATTTAAAATCTAAAATGACTGATATTGCACCGAATTTGGCTACTCTTATAGGGGATCAAGTAGGAGCTAGATTAATAGCTCATGCTGGATCATTAACCAATTTAGCAAAATATCCTGCATCTACTGTTCAGATATTAGGAGCAGAAAAAGCATTATTTAGAGCATTAAAGACAAAAGGTAATACACCTAAATATGGATTACTATTCCATTCTACGTTTATTGGCCGTGCTGGTACTAAAAACAAAGGAAGAATATCCAGGTATTTGGCCAATAAATGCTCTATTGCATCAAGAATAGATTGTTTCGCTGAGACACCAACAAATATCTTTGGTGAAAAATTACGACAACAAGTGGAGGACCGTTTGAAATTCTATGAAACGGGTGAGATACCTAAAAAAAATATAGACGTGATGCAAGAGGCACTTGAAGAAGCTCAACATGTAATAGCTAATCTGGAAATGGAATCACAGAAGAAGAAAAAGAAAAAAAATAAGAAAAGAAAACAAGAAGAATTACAAAATGGTAATACTGCTACTAATGGTATTCATGAAAATGGAGACAAAGAAGAACTTGTTCAGGAGAGCGAGGAACCTTTAAAAAAGAAAAAGAAAAAGAAAAAGTCCAAAAGTATAGGTGATAGTATGGAAATATCATAAATAACATTAAATTTTACTATTTGTATTATTGCTATATCTATATTATCTCACACACATTAAAAGAACTGGCATATTCAACTTATAGAATTTTATAAATTTTCAACAATGTTTTCTACATACTTTCCTCAGAAACAAAGTTAATAGAATTATCTCCTTTAAACTCATATAAAGTGTATCATCAGAAATATTTCCGTCGTAATAAATATTACGAAAAAATATTTCCTATAAAAGTTCCATAGTTTTACGGAGACCACTGTGTATAATAAAAATGATTTTATTCCAAAGATTAATCAGATAAAGACATCAATTTTGTTTTTTTAAATGAAATGTTATATTTTATTTATTTATAAATAATAGCTGCTTTGAAAGTAAATTACAGTATATAATCCAGTATATTGATAAATAAGTAAACTTTTACAAGAGTCAAGGATTTATAAATAAATAATATTTTATTTAAAAATAAAAAAGACAAAGTTGATCTTTTTACCTCATTAACTTTTTGCAATAGAATAAAATTATTTTTACGTTAAAGTACTTCCCATAAAATTGCAAGAATTTTAAAATTATCTAGGAAATTTTTTTTTTTAATTTGTATTACAATAGAAATATTTTAGGTAATAAATATAGGTGATATATCTTGTATATTACAAAAAATTATTTTCAAATAAGTTTTGCTCTTCTAATATTTTCTGTTTTATTTTATTGAAAAATGCTTTATTATTAGAATCATATTTGCATTTTGAAGTTATCTTTAGCAATATGTGTTATGAATTTTTCCATTAGGACATCTGTTATATAGATCATTATAATTTTATTTTTTTCTCCAAAATTCAAAATTATGAATGATAAATAAAAACAGAACTTTATATATATATATATTATGACATGTAATATTCTGTAAAATTTTTTTATTTATAAGTTTACCTTATTTCATTAGAAATCCTATAGCTTATGAAAGAAGGTGCTAAGTATAATATGATGTATAAAAATTAACTATTTTAAATATATTTTATATTGTGTCATAATTTAAATTTATATATACATATACATATATATATATATATATATATATATATATATATATATGTATGTATGTATATGTATACGAATATATATACACATATGTGTATAGAAAAATATGAATAGAATCCAGGACTGATAAATATACTTAATGTTTCCATCAATAATTACATAATTTTTACATTACGAAACAGTTTTCTACAAATAGAAAATATACCTTTGTCAAGAAATTGTAAAATATACCTTTTTTTAATCAAATTATTTGGTGCAATAGTTAAATCTTTTTCTTACATTAGTTTTCCCAAAGTCCACAATTCAAAACTATGTTAAGGTATTCTACTATCAAACTTATAGATATATTTTTTTTAAACGGAAAGTTGAAATCTGTTATAAAAACTTTGTGATACTCCTACTTGATTATACATTGTAATATGTTTATTTCTTTATATATATATATATATATATATATATATATATATATATATATATATATATAATCTTATGTGACCTTATTGTCACATTTAATCTAGTAAATATTAAATGAATAAATTCAAGTAGTATTTCATACAAATAAGGAAGATAGTGGTATTATGGAAAAAAAAATAAAACATTAAATAATTTTTGTATTAACACCAGCACCAATGAGCATTTAATAACGATAAAATTGTTATGCAAATATTTCAATCGATAGTTACAATTATAAGTTCTATACTAAATAAAATTCAGTCAAAAATGCCTAAATTATCCATTTGTTATCAAATGCATTTGTATGTCACAAACAACATTGCTATTCTGAATTAATATCAAAAGGAATGATACAAGTAAAACCATGCCATATTGTTGCATTGAAAGTTATAGATATATTTATTCTAGTGCATTAATTTTAAAATATCCATTTAAATGTTGATATGTACTAGTATGTTTTTTTTTTTTCAAATATTTATTACAATGATATATAAATTACTAAATATGAAATTATATTTTCCGAACTGTGACATGCACTATACTTTTGTAAGAAAATATAGATTTCAAAGCTGTTAGATCATATGCATGAAATTACTGGTCTGTAATAAGTACATTTACAGTGCATATAATTAACAAGCTATTGCTTAGAATGAAAGCACAATGATTTGGTATATACTTAAACAAAGTAAAACCTATGACATTTAATATTCTATATAATTTTACATTTAACTTAAGTTTTACATTTTATTAGATTTATTATTTATTGGAATAGATGACAGCTGTACATTCCCACTCTAACATATATATATATATATATATATATATATATATATATATATATATAAATTATAATTACTTGCTAATAATCTGATTTTAGCTTTAATCTAGTTTGACTCTCTAAAAAGGCCTCTGAAATTCTACAATACATTTGTGCCTGTTCTAATCTTTGCATGAAGTTTTTATATTTATAATATTTATAATCATTTATATTTGTACAATATATATTTTCTATCGTAACACTTTAAAAATATATACCCCTTTTGCATTATTCGTATTACTTCATATAAAATGCACAAATAATGGAAAATGTAAAGGGCGAGTTCGATGTACTTCCTTTACAGCATTCAGTCTCTGATCGTGTAAAAATCTGTGTAAAATATCTCTGAGGTTTATAATATTACATTAAATCAACTTGAATATCTCAATAATTTTCTCTCCATACAATACAATTATTGAATAAATTAACTTATTCAACAATTCATTTTACATTTAATAATTTGAAATAAAATTACTGATGATAATCATGTAACAATAATTTATGATACATCAAGTTATTTATAATAATTCGTTAAAAAATTCAACAAACAAGCGAACCAGATATATTTATAAATTGAATAAACATGCACTCACATTCTTAGCATTCAATAGTCATCAGTATGCATATTACATCGAATGGATAAAAAAAAAATATTTAAGTTCATTGAGTACAAATGTATCACTAATGTAATAACCAAATTATTGTAAAAACTGAAGTTTTTTGCTAAGTTCAGCTGTCTCATTTTATATAGATTTATAAATGAAAGTATTGGAAACATTAATTATTTAGTGTTCAAGGCAGTAATTTATACATACAGATGTATAGATGTTCGTTCAATAACGCCTTTTTTGTTTTTACAAGTCAATTATAACATGCAAAATAAAAGCATGAAACTTATATAAATTTTAGCGAACGTGATGTTATTAACAAATTTTTTTTTATTATTATTAACATAGTCTTTTTCTTAAACAAATTACTATAAAATTTTTTAGAATTTAGCAACAAAAATAAGTTGAATTATTTATAATTGAAATATAATATAATTAGATATTTTTTTTCACTTATAAACTTAACAATTTAATTACTAATAATTATCTTCATTGCTTAGCTATAATCCATATATAATTATATGCACATGTATCATATATATTAGATACATATGATACATAATTATTTTAAAAGATATGCATTCTTTTATGATACTGTATAATTAAAAAACAAAAAAAAAATCGATTTGTATTACTATTTTACAAATACTTTTCAAACTGATTGCAATGTACTTGAGTGGATATATATTAATACAGAATAAATTGTAATTATGTGTGCATGATATTGTATATCTGCAATGATTGAAAAACTTAAAATACGACATAATACAGGTATTCCTTTTGTGCCTTCTTTTGATTAATAAAGTAGCTAACTAGTGAAACTTGAACAATCAGACTCCATAACTTTTGCTCATACGTTTAGCATTTTAAAATACAAAATTAAAAAATTTATATTCACTGAAAAGTTATTGTTAGGGAAGCACGCACTGTTGACTTAATATATCATACTACTGCAATTTCTATCTCTTGTGTACACAAATATAGTTAATCATAAGGAATATAAAATCGATACATTTTTGATACGGTCCTTTAACTACAGTAAATGCAATTTCTATTCTTACTATCATGTCATTTTTTATTAATTTTTGAAGGGGCATTCATACATTTCTTTTGACTACTGCTAATGACATTGTTAGCAGATGAATTTTTCTTTTTTCTTGTTTTTTTTTTTTCGTAGAGAAATATTACACTTTCCTTCGAACTTTCCATAAATCGTTACTGTACATATAAGGCTGAATTTTCTTTGAAAAATTCCGATTTATATTATATATAAAAATTTAACACAAATCCTTTCCTGACTTGCTCCCATGCAATCCATTTTACTCTAACTCATTATAATGAGTAAACACCTGTAATTATGCTAATATATATTATATGAAGCTGCCTTCAAGTATACATGTAAACAAAATCTCAACTCTTAATTTTTTAATGATTAAAAAATCTTATATCCTGCTGAATCATCATACTCGTATTTCTTGAATGACGAGCATGTTATTCATATATTATTGCAATACTCTTATTCTACATACTGACAAATCTTTCAGTATACAATAGTTTTGTATTTAGTAGCACTCAGCTTACAGAGATTTGTGATGTTCATTCTTATTTGGATTGTTCATGAACACATTACTCCACGATACACGATTAATTCACCATTCCGCTTCCGACAACAATATTGACCTGAATTATGGAGAACAGATTGAAGTAAATCCTGTATACACTAGAGACTATATTTTGTCAAGAAAATAGAAAGTTCCTTTTCAATTGCATTAAATAAATAGATCGTCTCTTCCAAGTACTGACTGTCATAATTACAGGTTTTTATATATGCATATTTAAAAATTTTATTGTTGTCTAATTAAAATTATTTAACGCGTCTCATTGAAACGCAGAGAAGAATACTGAATTTGCTTGTTGCTGCTGTTGCTGTTGTTGTTGTTGTTGTTGTTGTTGTTGTTGCTGTGTTTGAGATTGAATCATAGGTGATGTATATCCTAATGTTGATGCTGCTGAAACAATTAATTTTAACGAATTAATATCAACATTGTATGCACAATCTATAAATTTTCATACATTTCTCTTAATAAACTCACCTACAGGTTTAACTTGATGCTGTGGGCTAGTACTAGCAAGTTGATTCATAGTTGGTGCTGGTCCAGCTTGTTTTG